AAAAAAAAAAAAGTTTATTTATTTCTTTCTTCCATGAGTGAGAAAAAAAAGAGAGAGACAGCATCCCCAACAGAGTCCTGACAGCACAATCCAGACCTGGCCGCAGCCAATCCTGGACCACGGGTGCACATGCTCAGCATACATAGGCACGCACAGGCTTGCCATACTCAGGGAGGGCTCTGGATGCAAACCAGGAACCTTCCCACGTGGGTTAGCCTTGCAGACCATGCAGTTTTACCACTGCACCACTATCTAACCCACTAATCATACCAACATTCTTCCTCCAATAAGTCACACCTTGTTTCATCATGATCCATTCTGTTTCTTCGGCCTAGAACACCTTTCCATATTAGCATAGTGTCACCTCCTTCTGGAAGTCCTCCCCAAACCCCAGAGTAAAGGTTAGGAGCCCACTGCCTATGTCCTTCTGTAGAACCTTTGGTTTCTATTATCATGGGCCACAACACACTACATATTAGTTGCTTGTTAATCATTTCTTGCTCCCAGAACTTGAGATGCTCACAGGAGGCAAAAACTGTGTGTTTCTGGTTCATTTCTATACTCCTAGCCCGTGACAGTGCTGGAACAGAGGCAGTATTATTCCAATATCAGCAGAAGAAAAAGTGAGAGTAGCACTCACTTTAAGGTCTGTCCCACATGTCCCTGAAGAAGGAGGACCTGTCCGGACTGAGAGCAATTGTGAAAGCTTCTAAACAAGGTCTCTGGGCATTTACCAAAAACCCTTAGGACTCACTCGCTCAAGTCCACATGACAGCAGTCAGCAAGGAAATACCTGGGGTATGACTTTGGAGAGCATCTCAATTCATTCTCCCTGCCTGCTTATGTGAAAGACCTTCCAGAATCCTCTAAGGAGCCAGGTGCAGCGGCATGCACCTGTAATCCTAGCTACTCAGAAAGCTGAGGCCGGCCCCAGCAGTACGGTGACAGGTGAGCCCCAAGAGTGCATGTGGCTACAGAACCTTGGGCCTCAGGGGGGCTTGAGCCAGAGAAGCTGAGGTGCCCTGAGCTCCAATACTCTAGGTTGCTGTCATGAGGCTGCTTTCCAGTCCTAACAAACCTCCTGCTGCCTCGGCAGGGAGTGAGTCACAGGACTACACCATCTGAATCAGCAGGA